CCAAACTCTCTCATTGGTACATGACTCCAGATAAAAGTCCTTCCTCAGGATGTGGCAGCCACAAAAGAAAGGGTGAATGTTGTTAAGATTTGAGAGGAATTAGATGGATCAATGGGATATGTCATGCTGTAATGGAGACAGAACCAGACTTTTTATCCACCTTGCCGTATTCATTATTAAAATAAGGAATTGGCCCACATTCCTATACCAAAATAGTGAATTTAATTTAATGGACATTTGGCTCAAACGGATATCCATTCCATCCTATTAATCAAATAAATAATTTTTTACTCTAGAGGTTGTCATTGACTTCTAACTGGCCACTCAACGAAGTTACAATAGTCCTCCCCACAGCTACTTATCATGTGGTTTTAGAGTTAAGGTAGCCAGGCACACATCTTGTGATCATGTGGTTGTATTTGGGGCACTTGGCAACTGACTCACCTTTATGGCTATTTGCAGCATCCCATGGTCCCATGACCACAATTGGCAACTTTTTTTTTGCCAGTTTCCAGCTTTCACTTCCAGTTTCCAGCAAAAAATGCCCATTGGGGGAAATGGATTTCCTTAACAACCGCATGTTCACTTAATGACCATCCTAATAACTATTATACCATAGAATCTGGTCACATGATATCATAACTTATGATTGCAAAAACATCATTCTGTGCTCGATTACAGACAAGGACTACCTGAAATCCAATTTGGGTATAACTGATGAATTTCAGAGATATGGGAGCTGAATAATATAAATCAGCGGTCCCAACCTTTTGACCACATGGTTGGTGACAGAGGTGGGAGGGGCAGTGGAAGGGTTTGTGCATTCAATCTTATCCCGTTCGTGTGCAAATAAAGCTTTGTATGCTTGTCTGCCCTTTGTGGGGCCCAGTTCCCAACGGTCCATGGACTGGTACAGGCCACAGAGCAGGCCTTTGGGACACCTGATGTAAAGAGTCTATCATCATACCAGCTCTTAATAAATCTGAAAGCAACATAATCGAATGCTCTTTTATTTCCATTTTGTTTAAGTGAAATACTGCAGCAAAATAAGAATTGTATAAGGTAAATATCATTTGTAGATATTTGTGTTACATAGAATCAAATTGCCTGGTTAAATGATGAGCACAAAAATATGTATGTGTCCTCATTCTAGCACTGTGTACATTTGCCATTATAAGCTTAGCAGAGGCAGCTACAACTAGCCATGATGTCACTCAAATGATAAAACTTGATGTCAGAATGGAAGCTGAACTGACTGTACTTATATGTACATGGAAATGTATACAGGGCAAATACATAGTTACATCTATGTTGTAATACACTTGATTCATGCTTAACAACTTCTGCCCACAGCACTCATTCCTATATAAGCAAAGCAATTTTGCAGGATTTATCTACCAATCTTGTACTAAAAACTTATTTTCTTGAATTGGTTAAAAAATAATTATGTACATAAAGAATTAAAATCCAGCATTATGGAGTATTACGAAGGAACCATCTCTACCCTAATTACAGAAAAGATCGTAAGTATGATAGTGAAAGTTCAGTACCATATGGTTTAAATCTGATGAGGAATTAACGGTCAGAGCCATTGTACCAACATATGCTGGGTGCACCTGTAAGGAGTTTTAAGAGTAGTTCAGAATCTGATAACTGAACACGAAGCTACTGATAATCAGCTTTCATTTCTGCAGAAAGCAAAACTGGGCAACCTTTAATCTCCCACCTTAAACAGAGCAGGCAGAGAGAGAAAAAGAAAAAACCAAAGCCGCCACTGCAAAAGAAAAAAACCTTTTTTCTCAAACTTCTTATAGTTTACACAGCTTGCACAGATTGTCATGGTGTTGGAAACAATTTCATATTCATTAGTTCAGGCAAACCTCATGATTTTCTCAGCGCTCTGCAAATACATTTTCTGGCATATAGTCCAGAACTTTGTTAGAATACACATTTAAAGTTACAAGCAAGGCTACTTGGCAATTTAGCCCAGATGTGTCATCTTTGCAGTTAGCACATTAGGTAACAATGGAGCTCAGCTCGACAGGAAATCAAAAATCAAATTAGGTGCATTCTATGTATGCCCTAATTCTTTCACACCCATTATGGAGAGGAATATCTACCAAAGAACAGGATGCTGTTTGTAGATCGCTGGGTAATAAAAAAGAGGAAGGGATGGTCAGCATTTAATTCTAATGGATGCTGTGCACTCTTAAATACCATTATTACACCAGTGGCAGCAGCTGCTTCAGTGCCTTCTTCATTGACTTCTATGAATGATTTGTGAACAACTTCAGATAGGACTAAATCATTGTTAGTTGACATTCCAGAGAAGTCTGCCTTGCCCTCATCAAATGCGTCCGTCATTCCCATGCTTCTCAGAACAGGCTTCAGATCATATTTTTCTTCCAATTTAAATTTGGGAAAGGAGAGGTTAATTTCTCTTGGGAACATCTTCTCTGGATTGACCCATTCCATGAGTTTCTCATACGTAATTTCTCTCTCCAGCTGAAATAAGATGAAAAGCATTAAAGGAGAAAGGAATTCCTGGTTATATGACACTGTGATTTATCCTGATACTCTAACACAAGTATGATGCAGGTCAGAGGTGGTATTCAGCAGGTTCTGAGCAGTTCTGGAAAACCGGTAGCAGAAATTTTGACTAGTTCAGAGAACCGGCAAATACGACCTCTGACCGGAGATTTTACAGTATCCTTCCCCTGCCACGCCCACAGAACCAATAGTAAAAAAAATTGAATCCCACCACTGATACAGGTGCTCACAATACCTGAAATATTACAAACAGTGGTAAATTCTTGTATTTCCTAGAACATTAGGAAAGATAATTAAGTCAGAAAAATGGTGTAGAGTAGACTTTAGGACCAGGAAAAAAGTAGGAATATAAATGTAGTTTTATATTCAAGGTACATCAATTTCTAACTCAATTAGATTCTTTAACAAACATGTGGAATATAAGCCAGATCCACCTGGCAGAGTCACTATTTCTAGAATTATTTACCCAACAGCACAGATAAATGTATATATATTGTATCAGAGAAAACTTGCATGCTGTTAAGAAATGTTTTTATAATTTATTTATGTTTATATTAAATTTTATACCAACTTTAATTCCAGAAAACCCAATAATTTACAATTATGCTAAAAACTAAAAGAAATGCTAAAAGAAAAAGAAAAAATAGTTTTGTTTAATGGTTAATAGCATTGGGTTATAAATCATCACTTCGATATGAATGACTAGATTTGGTGATTTGGGGCCGGTCATACTCTCTTAGCCCTAGGAAGCAGGCAAGGGCAAGCAACTTCTGAAAACGTTGCCAAATAAACTACTTGGATTTGTCCTGACAGTTGACAGAACAAAACCTTACTTGAAGGCAGAAACCCACACAAAAAAATTCCTCAGCTATACGAACTGCTTTATTCTTTCCTTCAAGCTATGACTCTTTGTAGGTATTTCAACATGAAACAGTGTAAATTGAAGATTCAAAAACTGAACCACTTACATCTTAGTAATGTCAGAAGAAATACTGTACATTATTGGCAACCTTATCAACTGCCTCGTACACATCAGCTACTGATGGAATCACCCTGTGTATACAATACTTTGAAATACAAATGCATTCACTGGTGTTCTTTAGAGTTTGGGGTTGGGTTTCTTTTTGCATCTTTTCAAAATAAGGGAAAATACAAGTCAACCCAATGGTACTAACTGTAATTCCAGAAAGCCAAGGTTCAGTATTAAAAAAGAGAGTGTACAGTTAGTATCAGAGGGGGTTTCAGAAGGTCAAGGGCTTAAATACTGTTTCATGAAAGAAAAACTCACCTTTTCCAATCCAGTAGAGTTATCTGCAATCTCATCAGGGAGCAGAATGATCATGCTCAACTCATTA